AGAACTGTTGAAGAAATATTGTTTAGTTATACTAAATGAAATGCTTAAAGAAAGCTATTAGCCTAATAGGTAGAACATATTTTACAGTAGCTTCTATGTTCTGAAGATAAGCTTTCTTTTTTTTTTTTCATTTATTTAATAACGATGCAACTCCAGACAACATGGGCTTTCACAACCTTTTTGTTTTTTTACATCATATTTTCACCCTTCACATACTGTATACTCACCCTTGTGAACGCACACATAAGCAATAGCTGCCACGTCATTTTAGCGTGTGTGGGGTCTGTGATTAAGGTTAAAGTTTCGCCTTTGTCTTCTCGTTTCTGATATATTTGCTGACTGCAGCACAGAACTTGCCATAATTTGTTTGCTTGGCTTTTAAAAAAAAAGAGTATAATATGGTGTGTGTGTGTGTGTGTTGAAATGCTTTATTTTCCAGCTTGCTAAACTCATTAAATCACATTCCAATTTGTTACCTTGTCAACATGTTTGAGTTATTAGTAGTTTCTTAGATAAGGTTAATTGATCTCCACCCACTCTTTGTATTAGTGAAATGCTGTGATTTACTTCTTCCACTAACACAGCACAGCTCCTACAACCTCAGCGCAATCTGACCCGCAGGAGCAAAACACATCCCTAAAGAAATTATTTCATCATCTCTTACTGCTTGTCTTTCATCCATAGATCTCATTTGCCCTAGCCCAGCCTAGCTTCAAAATAAACTAGCTCATGCTGATGTGAGAGCCAATGTACAAGCTTAAAACATTCAGCTCAGTGGAATTAGGTGACTGAACTCTTGGTGAGCAAAGTATAGTTTATGTAAGACTGCTACTCTGAGGGATTTGGACAAGAAGTGGGAGCTCTAAATGTAGGAGACCCAGAACTGGCCTCAGTATTGGATTAGTTCACCCTGATCCTCGCAACCTCTGAACACGCTCCCCACTATTTCAAGAGCTCTCCATTCATGCCCAGCCAAGCACATTGGGAACAGTAATCTATAATTTTCTTCCATCCAACGAGAGCAGAAAACCTTGCTGTCCCTTTCTCTCACAGGTTTATCTTCACTTTCCTATGTTTATTTTGCTCCTTTTCTCTCCATCTCCCCTCTTTTTTAGTGCCTCACAACAAATTCCCTTTTCTCACCTCTCTACTTTCACCATTTGTCTTTTCATTCCTCTCCCCCTAACTACCCCTGTCTCTCTCTCTTTCTCTCCTTCGTTCCTCCTGACTTTTCTAAAGGGGATCAGTGGAGCTTAGAGGCCTTCCTGTCTGGTTCATTACTGAGCTGCTCTGGCACAAGACACTTGTTTCTCTAGTATAAAAAAGGAAGAAGAAGAAGAACACTACTGATGTTTAATACATGGACCACTTTGTTGTTTTTTTATATCAGATTTGTTCATCATAAAACTACATAACAGCAACAGTGCATGTAGATCTGCTCTCTTGAACATTTCTTTCTTGTCTTCACAATCCATTTAACCTATTGCCTCTTTTTTCATTGTTCTTTCACATTTCAGTGATTGGAAAGCAGCCCTTTTCTTTGTCATTCAGTGGTGTAAACATAGGAACACAAGGCAGGGCTCGTAAAAATAAAACTGGCTCAAGCCATTTATGTACAGTATATGGCATGTCTGCATGTAAATATGGAGACACACGGTAAAAACTGGGCACATCCCTTTGTCATATGCCTGAAGCCTAATATTTGGTGTCTTTCAGCAAGATAATAATCGTGTGTGTGTGTCATAACCAAATGTACTGCATGAGTTTGTCCTCTCTGTGTGGGTGTGCGAGTGGGGGCAGGCCTGCCTTGAAAATGCCAGAGCCTGTTTCTAATCCAGGCCTCCTCAGTGGGTTGCAGCTCTAGCTGTGCCAGGCAGGCCTGCTGCAACACCAACAGAGCCCCAGCTGACAGCTAGTCTGCTCCAGTTTCTGCTTTCTGAACAATCTCTGAGCGAAAAACATCAACAAATGGGTTAAACTGGAAAACGAGCAGAGTTTTTTACAACAAGGTGAACATGCAGCAATTGCACCGAATAAGCACTCAGTTTGTCAGCAGGATGCATCTCGAACTAAGAGAAAATGACAGACACTGAAAATCATACGCAACGACAGTTTATGAAATCCAGAAACCAGAAGTGCCAGGTAGTAATGGTGCAGCGCTAAGGGAAGGATGCTCTATCAGGTTTAGAATGAAATCAGAGCAGTTCAATCTGATTCAACCTTTTTAAAGAACACAAGCTCTGAGGAGGCACGAAACGGTCCTTTCAAAATAAAATATCAGCAGCTTCAGTGTAACTCATCAGTGCCAGGTTTGATAAAAAAAATCCGTGTATGTTATATCAGAGACCCATGATAAGAAAACGAGCAAGACAGGGGCCTGCTGCCACCGTGCTGCATCTTTTTAACCACCCAAACAAACAACCCTGAACGCTCCACGTCATCAGTGACGGAGACGTTCACCGTGCTGGTGGCTCAATATGTAACGGCTGCTGTTCTGCTAGATTAGGTGGGTGATTGGCCATTAATATTCATTTCACAGTGTGTCTTTGTTAGACGGCAGCGAGGGCTGACAGAGTATTTGGATAGACTTACTCTACCGTGTATATTTGCTTTAATTTCTGCTAGGAAAAAAAATGGTTTCCTCATAGATTCTATCAAGTTTTTCTGCAGTTGAATTGTTCTTACCGTCTAGATCTGTGTGCTCAGTTTTGATCAGATGTTCAAATGTCCTACAATATGTCCTACTGTCTTCCTGTTTGATAGCTGGATGGATTTGGGTTTTTACAGCAACAATAACTGGTGATACACTGATCCCATCTGGCCCTGTCTAGTCTTAATAACAGCAGATAGTTCCTCCAGGAGAAGTGGAGGTCTAGCGGGCATACAACCACAGTAACATCTTTTCCTAATGGACAGCAACCTGGCACAGGTGATCTGAACTGCCTGCACCGTAATGAGATTAAGGGACTAATTAGTCTGACCGTGTGTTGTGATGTGACTGAATTCACTCAGAAACATGTGCCCTTATCGGGCTAGCAGTGTGGTCGCTGAGAGACTGAGCATGTTGTCTCTAATGCCCTACCTTTGACAGCAATGAAATACTAATTAATATGTTTTTCTTTTTTTAGCATTCACATTTCTAGCTTCCATACACTAAGCTGAATTTTTTGTCTTGCAAGCAAATAAGTATCAGAACAGCAACAAAAATTAATCTAGGCAATTTTGACAGTTAATTATCACAATGATTATTGGACAAAGAAGAATTATAGCAAATAAGCAGCTAAATCTTGCAAAAAGTAGGCCATGGAGGAGCATAAGCATCACAGTCGATCTGCCAAAGACAGATCCAGATATGAAAAGCTAAATTATCTTTGCCAGTGATTATTAATGGAGGAATTTAGGCCGGCAGATTAGAAGCAATATGAGAACAGGAGATTTGAAAAGGACTTATCAGATCCATCTCTCCTTCACACAGTCCCTGCATCAACTTTTTACTTCTGCCTCCTAACCTGTTAAAGTTGTGTTTGATTGCCCCTTAGTGGTGCTCTGACCTGTTCATTTAGGATGATGTGCAACTCTCCAGTCTGTTCCAGCACTCGTTTGTTCTTCAGTGAGGTCCCAGCCACTGGCCGGTAAGAGGACCCCACACTGACTTTTGCGTCCTGGGAGCTTTAAAACCGGCCACTCACCGCCAAGTAAAGAGACAGCTGAGTGTCGTTGTTAATGTGGACACACCACACCACAATGGCAAAATCAATGGAGCTATAGGGGGCATCAATCGTGACAGCGCAAGACCCTTTTTGCTTGTCTCCTTGCTCCTTTAAAGCTCCAAATGAATGACTGCAGGAACGAAAGGAATGAAGAAGGAAAGAAAGAAAGAATGAAAGAAAGAAAATCTTGGGGCATTGAGAGTGATCTTTTATTGGCCTTTCCTCTGTTCATCCCAGGGGGTTATGCTGTCCTTTGAAGATTGTACATCTGACAGACAGCCAAGTGGCCAGCCATCCTAATTCACCCAAAACAGGCAGGGGTTTTGAGGTAAAGCCTCTGAAGTGCTGCACGGCAGCTGTACACATTTGGCATCAGTTCTGAATTTTCCATTCCTCTGTTTTCCACGTCCAGATTTCTAATTTGGCTTCCTCTAAATGACAACAAAAAAGCATTGCTTTGTCACCGAAAGACACATGAGATGTGCACAGAAAAATAACAACAAGGTTCATTGTCTCTGTCTCTGACTTGAAGGATGCCTTCTCAGTATATTAACATATATGCAGATAGGCAGAGTGTAAATGAAAGCCTCCAAAAATGGGAGAGATCAAAGACGACAGAATTAAGGCCAAGTAATGAGGATCTTGGCAAACGCTCTGCAAATGTATTGATTGTTTGGCAGTCGTTACATGCGGCTGTTCCATTTGCTCTGTGTCTATACAGTTTACTACAGATCAAGCAGTGTGGGCTTTAACAAGGCTATAGTGTGGATATGATTGTTGAAGAAAGCCTAATCACTATCTTACTTACAATGAAACAATAATGTACTTGGAATAAGAGACATGAGGCGAGAGATTGGCAGTCAGAAAGCCAATCAGAGGCCTAGAAACCTTCAGTAGCTCATTCTTTACTCAATTAAAGACATAAAAACACAGGCAGGCTAGGACTACAAAAGGATTAATCTAGGAACCATGAGGATTTGAACCAGCACCAAATGAACAATGATGAAGTATGACTACAGATAAGCACTATAGATGCCATCATAGATGCTCACATTTGATGTCACGTACATCCAGACACAATTAGGAGTGTCTCTAAAAATGAAGTTATTTATATTTTGAACTTAACTGCAACAAAACATTACATAAACGGTAAGTAAAAAAAGAAAGAAAAGAAAAGAAAACTGTAGATAAGTATATTTTAAAGCTTAGGAATGGTGAATTCAGAGCCAAATGGATTAAAGGGGAAGATGATAGGAGCATATAAAATGATAAAGAAAAGAAGACAACTACCTCCACGACTCTCGCTGTCGGCAGGTTTCACCTGGATGGGGCGAGTCATCTGGAGGAGACAAAAGAGGAGACAATAAAACAAAGCAACAAAGATGTTAGTAATGATGATTCAAGCCATTTGTCGTTACAAGAAGCCACAAGCCAAAAGTATCAATGCCATCTCACGCTTATAACAGCAATTCTGCAAAACTGATCAAAGTGTCTTAGCTGGATGGAAAAACAACACACTATCATGCAGAGATGTTGACTCAGTGCTGAAGTTGCTGCTGATCTCATGCTGCTGATGATCTCATGCTGCTGATTATCTTATGTTGCTGTATTCATTCATACCTATCTGCTCATCACAGACTCATGTTCGGGCTGCTGTTGGTATGCAGTATTGCTTTACAATATTAGTGTTCAGGGTATAACTTAGATATTTTAGCGCAGGGGTTCACAAACTTTTCCATGCCCAACCCACCCACCCCACCACCCCCGGCCGAGACCCCTCTCGCAAACCCACAAACAATGCTACAAAATATGTTAAGGAACATCAACTTTTAGAATGTTTTAACTTCTATTCACTTTATTGTATTAATTATTACAGCTGCTGAGCATAAAAAATGTTATTAATTAACAATTTTTAAACACTGTATTATATTCCCACTGAAAAAAATCCAACTTTTCGACAAACTGTTGACCAGATGAACGCAGCAAAAGATGTCTGACCTCTCTCTCAAGCGTTTTTATCTGGAAATGACAGATAAAAATGACCCTATTTTGCAATTTTTATTAGTATTATTTTTAATTTTTGCTTTTTTTAAATCTTCTTCTCGCCAGCTTTCTGAGGCCTCCTAGTGACCCCTGGCAGACCCCTAGGGGGGGCCACGTCCCCCCCCACTTTGAGAAACACAGTTTTAGCATACCGTTTGGCATTTGTTTTAGCGTAAATCTTTGTGTATATCTTTGATGCCTATTTACTTTCTTTTTAGACTTTATATTTTGCTATTTCCGGGTGTAACTGGGACAATGTGTACATAATTTCATTCCATCTCTTGTACCACATGTGATGGTAATGACAACAAAGTTTACTTGAACTTGGACTTGAAGGGTACTTTGAGTCTGTAAAATTTAGCTATGTGTAGCCTATATGTCTATTTTTGAGGTTTGCACAGCAGCTGAATGAGAGCTAGCAGGGATAGATGTGTGTCTAAATGAAAAGGCCATGGCAGTCCTATAACAAAAGTGAATCCAGCCACAAGAGGAGAGAGATCAATGCAGGCCTATTGATCCAGGCCCTTGGGCTGTGGAGAGGGTCTGGATAGGAAGAATTCTCTGGTTAGAAGGCTCACTCTAATCCACTGGACCCTGATAAGAATGGCATTGCCTGGATTAGATGCCTCTGTCATCACAGTCTTGCTGTCACGCTCTCCTCCTCCCCCATTATAACCTTCTTTTTTCATTATTGTTGTTCATGCTGAACTGTTTCACCAAACTCGGGGCTCAATTTATTTTTGGAGAAAAGTTTGAACCATGAAGCCGTTTTTGACAAGATGCTGTTTAACTTCTCAAATTGTACCTCCTGCTGACATGTTTCTGTTTTTACACTTGCAAATGCATATGTGTAATATGTGTGTGCACTAAAACATAATACACAATATAACCACAGATCTGCTGCCAACAGTGACTCTACAAATCACTAAATCCAAAACTAAGGATTATAAAACATAATTCATCCAGACTTTAATAAATTATACCCAAAAGTTTCCCAAAGTTTTAACACATTTGCTCAAATACAAGACTGACCTTTCACCACACTCATTTTTTTAAGTAAAACATTTTTAGTGATTATTAGGGTAGAGTTATTGCCTGAAACCATTTGCCTTCTTTGAGCATCCAAGTCAAACCAGTATAAGCTATCAGGCATATTATTATTATTATTATAAGTATGATTATTATGATTATTATTTTGGGCCACATAAGTATGTTTTGACCCTTCTTCCTATTTTGTATCTTCTTGTTCTGTCCAATTCCAGGACAGGGATGAAAAGGTCACATTTAAAGACAGGACAATCCAATAAAAGCATGACATGTTCAAGGAGAACCACCATAATGGGATTTTAAAATGTCTTAATAACATGGTGATGAACGAGTGAGAGGCCCAAGCCCAATTCATTAAGTGATAAATGTATCAATTCTCACCTTGAGGAACTGAGTAACCTTCCCTAGAAGAACATTTTCCATAAATTTACCCACTGTAAATAATAACTAGCAGCAACTAGGTCTTTGTGGGAAAACGAGGAGCATGATCCTTTTGTGAAGGCTTCAGCTTCTTGTTTTCTGAGTGGCTCCCCATCTACAAGTGCTTCCTTTGAAATGCACAAAGTGAGCAACAGTATATAATTTTACAGTATGGAAATGCCAAGCCACAGGGTGCACTGCTCCTCATCTTGCATGGCCAGATTACAGAACCCACTGCATTAAAACTGCACAAGCTCTCAAAGCAGCCTGAAGACTGATTTTTTTTTTCAAGTAGAAAAGAACAAAAAAACAACATCTGAGACAAACTTACATATAACTTAACCTTTCCTATATTTTGTATATTTGAAACAAACCAAAGAAGGTTCTACCCTGAGCACCAGTGGTGGGATGTAACTAAGTACAAATACTTCGTTACTGTACTTAAGTACATTTTTCATGTATCTGTACTTTATTAAGTAGAGTTAAATGTGGGTACTTTATACTTTTACTCCACTACATTTTACATCAAGTATCTGTACTTTCTACTACACTACATTTCTATAACGCGTTGCATTACAAGTTACATTCATGTTGCGGATTTATTTGTTACTTTGAAAGTAACCAATGTCGAGAGGGGAGTTGGTCCATTGAATCACTGCAAAGTGGGTAGGTAACGTTAGGCCTGCCTTCAAGAAGAGCTGGACCAATTACATATATTCTAGTATATATGTCACTGAGCTGGGTGCACCCACAACACACCCAAAATGTATTCCACTGCAAGAGTCAGCCAGAAGATATGCACCACCCATGGCCTTATTGAAAGACTGCTCAGTACAACAGGGCAGCTTCTCTCTCCCAAAAGAGCCAGACTGGACTCAAAAAACTTTGAAAACCAACTTCTTCTGAACTTGAACAAGAAATTCTTGCTGCAATATTAAAATGTGTCAGTTCATTGGATGTTAGGAGACAAGAGGTGTCTCCAAATGACTTGACACTCAGGTCCAAGTTTTAAAAATGATGTCAGGAAGTTAAAATATTGTTCTATATTGACCCATTACAAGGTTGAATAGACAGTATTTTAACTAGAGTTGATGACAAACTGGAGTTGAAATATCAGTGGAAATGATCAGAGCCTATTTATTTGTTAGTTGTGTCTAATGCTCCTTTTTCCAGGCAGACAACTTTTACTTAAATGTGTTTACTGCAGTTAAAATGACACACTGGTTTTGCTTTGTGTTAAATAAAAACTTTCAAAGGTATAATCATTCCTCTTTCTTATTTTGATTAATGGCATTTAACTCTGCAGGTCATCCCTGAAATTCTGACGCACAGAATCACAAGTCCAAGTGTGAACTGTGTCACAGAGTAAACACAATAAAAACATGAATTATCTGCAGCATCGTTCATTAAAATGGCTCAATACTATTAATGTATTACAGAAATATACATATGGTAGGCAGACTTAAAGATATGTAGACCATTGCATTATGTAATACATTCAGGAAGTACTTTTACTTTTAATACTTTAAGTATTTTAAAAGCAAGTACTTATTTACTTTTACTTAAGTAAAAATGTTAATGTAGCACTTCTACTTTTACTAGAGTGCATTTTTTTCTGTTTTTTTGTACTTTTACTTAAGTACAGTGTTTGAGTACTTTCTCCACCACTGCTGAGCACTGATTTAAGGTTAGATGTATGGTGGAGGAATCCGAATCCATGTGGCTTCTCCACCATCTCAGTCATCTCTGCAGGGAGCCTGCGTGTGGGAGGATGCTCTCTCCAAAGCTAGTTACTGTTCAGCCTACAACATGCCAGCTTAATGGTCTATTTATTTGCCCGAAAGCAATGCCTTATGGTCCCGAACTATCACAGCTGATGGCGCTTGGTTTGTTAAAATTCCCTTGAACACAGAATGAAAATTAAATGCAAAGTCTTCGTTTAAAGATGAATTTTCACACAAGGTGAATCTAAGTTACATATTTTAAGTGCTTTTACTAAGAAAAACTTTCATTAACATAGATAACGTAGTTGTTTTTTTTAATTTTATTTTTTTTTTGGTTAGAGTACCATGAATAAACTATATGAAACTACAAGTAATGTTGTTTTCCAAATCAACCAACTTTGATTGGGAGTGGTTTTCTTATACGGTAATAACTAAAATGAGTGGTTGCGTGAGCAGGTGGAATTAGATGAAAGAAAAATAATAAATGAAAGAGTTGGTTAAAAAAATACAGAATAAGCGATTAAAGTGCTTTAAACTTTTAGATCAGCTGGCTTCTGTGCAGAGTGCTGCCATAGTCGGATTCCACCTCCATGCCTTTCACTTTCAAACAAAAAGTGAAAAAGTGAAGCACCTGTTCTCTACAAACACCGTATATTTACAGTATAAATGAGCCACCTGCCTCTCTGCAGCACACTCTGCTAAATCTATTGTTTGCATTTTGTAAGACTGAAAATATGCCAAATGATAAAAATTACTCTGAAATAAATAAAATGAAAAAAATATATATTTTTTTTTTATTTTTATGGCCACAACATTTTTTTTATATTTTGTTGCCTTTCCAAGTACTGGTGTGCACATGTGGTTTCAGGGTCTAGATTTAAACAAAGTATATACATATTTTTTTAAAGAATGTTTGTCTTTTCATTTGCATATGCATTGTTTTAATTTAGATTGTAAATGTGACACAACATACCAGGGACTAAATCATAGTTTGTCAAACACATTTTAAGAATCATGACTTTTTAAACTGCATTGTGATACTTTTATCATCTGATAATCTGGAGCTGATCATGATATCATGAGCAGCTTCAGAAATATGGCTTGC